ATGTAAATCTTAATAATCCAAACTTAATAAAATTTCTAGTGTATCATTTTACTCATCTACTACATATTACTATGACAAAGAAAAATATTTGCAAATAGAGATGAACTGATAGAACTGAATAATCATAGTGGCTGAGGTAAAATACGCCCGAGTATCAACATCTATGCCAGCAGTAAATACATATATATGATGTGTTGATGTCCTCAAACAATAAAACCTAAAATGTCAATAGTTACCATGGCATAAATTATGCCTAACCTTCCAAAAGAGAAGGAGAGGTAGGTTAGGTTCGGCTAGGCCAGGTCTGAAAATTTTGGAAACAAATATTCACTAATTTTCCAGTAAATTTGGTTTTTATCGAAGGGAACTTGGCAACGTCTGAAGACTCATACGGCGTTTTTTCTCAGCACGGCAGTGTGCACCCGTGACCTACATCACATCCGGACGGGGAGGTGGGCTTTTTCGCTCCTTGTTTTTGCCGCGAGCTTTCGTAAATTCCCAGGCTCCGCACGTCGCGGAAACTGATGTCGGGGTGACAGAGACAGCCCCTGCGGTAGATTAAATATGCAAAATGAAGAGTGCAATGCGTGACGTGTTGCATGTTATGCCTCTGTTCATGAGATTCGAACACAGCGTGAAATATTTAATCTCTGCATCGCGTATCAAAGTTCAGACGGAAAAAAAGGGATTGCTGATTTGACAATTTAATTGTTAGAAAATATGTCCAACATATTTCAAATGTACATTTTACAATAGTGGAAAGCTAATTTAACGACGGGGGTGGTTAAATTATCATTTTATATTGTAAAATCTACATCGAAACACGACGGACACTTTTTTTTTACTATAAAATAGTTAAATCAGCATTTGGTTTAGCATTCTTACCATTTAGTTTCCATATTATTGCGCATCGCTCCCTCCAACATTGCTTTTATGGATCAGCCAGCCCTGTATAGCATACAGTTTTTTATATCTCAAAATGAAGTTCAACACTGGAAAAAAAACACATTGGATCTAGAGTCCAGACTCTTAAAAACATCGACAAGAAAAAGTACTCTTAATTCAAGCGGATTTCGTTTTGATTCAAGCAAAAATCCGATTGAATCAAGAGTAATTTTTCTTGTCAATGTTTTCAAGATTCTGGACTCTAAATCCAATGTGTTTTTTTCCCAGTGAATTATACTGCGATGGACAACGCTTGACTATCCAATTTGATAGTAACTGTGCTACCTGCGGTTCCTCAAATTAATCGAACGAAAGTATTCACCTAGGGAGCGTTCATTAATCACGTAACGCACTTTTTCGGCATTTCTACCCCCTCCCCCTTCCCCCTCGTGTAACGCTTCTATTACTTTGATTCCTGTCCATTAACACGTAAAATCAAAATGGCGAAACGCTCTTCTCCCCCTCCTCGTTCCTCCCCCTCCTCCTCGTTCCTGCCCCTCCTCCCCATCCCCTTCNCCCCCCCCCCTCCTTCCTCCCCCTTCCCCACCACCATCTCCCATGAGCGTTACGAAATTTATGAACGCTTCCTCAGGAGAGAGCTCCCAAGGCAAGACACTAAGAAGCGCGGAGGCAGTATTCGACGGTTGAGAGCTCGAGACGGGTTCAGTGAACGAGGCCCTCGAAAGAAATCAAAAGCTCGGAATAGGTGGTGAAGGTAAAAAATAGGCACGTCCCGCTCTCGGAGAGAACTTTTTGAATAATGTAGGCCTTCAATCAAACAACAAAAACGAGACGATTAGACAGGAGTGCCTCGGCGTGATAACGCGCTTTTCACCGCCGAGCCCCCCGCCCCCCTCCGCCGTCACGGCCGAGACCGGAGCGGGAGCACCCCCCGGGAGGGTTGGCCGAGGTATCGAATTAAAGCTCCTCGGCGCGATGAATCATCCCCGAAATCGGGCTCGCCGAGTCGAGTCGGAGGGGCTATCCAGGCGCGAGGCGCCGCCACGTATCAATAACAGATGAGTTTCGGATTAGCTCCGATTCTGATTCGTGAGGCGGCCGGGGGGACGCAGCGGAGGGGGGATTAGGAATCCCCCAGGAAACCCGACCGCGGATCAGATCGGACCTTCCTCGCCGTTCGTCGGGCGAGACCTTTCGGTGCCAGGCCTGCTTCGTTGTGTTTTTAGAATCATCCCTACACCGTACCACTCTGTCGATGAGGAGTTTGGTGTGGAAATCAGGGTGTCTAGCATCGGAAAATTACAGGAAAATCGGTCGTTGATCAGGAAATTCTGAAAGCTTTAAGCATTTTTCAAACATTTGATTAGTCTCATTAAATATGTTTTTTTTTAAAAATAATTATGAATGGATCCCTTCATCTAACCACTCTGTCAATGAGGAGTATGGTGTGAAAATCAGCGTGTCTATCATCGGAAAATTTCAGGAAAATCGGTCGTTGATCAGGAAATTCTGAGTGCTCTAAGCATTTTTCAAACGTTTGATTAGTTTCATTAAATATGGTTTTTTTCTTTCTTTTTTTTTTCTTAATAATTGTCAATGGGGAATTTGCACACAAAAATTGTCTTGCTTCATCTGAGAGTGCCTAATGAGCCGAGTTCGCAATATGTTTCATAATTTTTTTCTGAGCTGGAAATTAGAGAAAAATATATTTTTAGTGACGGAATTTGCCGCCATATGGCGAGAGTAGAGTTATCTCGGGCCGTGACTTGAAATGTTGGTACACTTTGCAGTCTACCATACACGGAAAAAATTAAATTGCTGATTTAACAATTTAATTGCTAAAAAAAGTGACTGCAACGTTTCAACCTAGATTTTGCAACAAAAAAATGCTACTTTAACCACTATCGTAAGCTAATTTAATCAAAGGGGGTGGTTAAAGTAGCATTTTTGTGTTTTAAAATCTACATTGAAACATTGCAGTCTTTTTTTTTTTTTTTTTTTTTTTTTTTTTTTTAGCAATTGAATTGTTAAATCAGCGATTTAATTTTTTCCGTGTAGTTTTTAATTTTTTAAAATAATCCAAATCTAGCTGAACATATTTCTCTACTCCATAATAGTTCGAGCTTTCGGTTGAGGGTGGTACCCCCCCCCCCCCC